CTCATATAACTTCAGTGGATTCTCATGGAACATTAGTATTTTTACGAAAACATTATATAATCCCTCGTGGAAAACTCGGCGCTTGTGGACTGGAGAATAACGAAGGACAAAGCTAGCTAGCTCCCTCGTAATTAACTCGCTCATCGTGAACCCTCGATAAAATATCGAAGTTCCAGACTAGAAACAAGACTTAATATTGCTTGTAAGTTTGTGAAACTTTTTGTTTATAAATCATTGTTTGTGATAACTATTTGTAATAATTGTTACTGTAAATTGTTTTGTTGTGTGTGTGTATATTAAAACGTATTTGTGTTAAAAAAAAAGAAAAACTGTGTGTATCAATCGTGTTGGCAAATATCATAAACTAACTATATATCGGCTTTTACTTAACTGCTAAATCCAAAGTTCAACTTAACTACTAAATTTAAAGTATAATTTACCTCGGTTTCAGACCATTTGGAATTCTAATACGTAACAGTGTGTTTACAAAGTGAAAAGCATATGGTTTTTAACGAACTGCACATGCGTATTTTAGACCTAAATAAGTCGAGAAAGCCCATAGAAATTGTATCTAGTGTAATGTTAGCTTTTTTTAAGGAATTACACACGGATTAAGCGTTGTTTGTGTGAAATAACTTTGGAAATTAAAAACTAAAGCTAAAGTTGAAATCAAAGCTAGTCGTCAAGTGATGACAACGACATTGTGCCTTCGTGAAGCTTACTCGTTGCATTAGAAGTCTGACTAAGCAAAAATCAGGCAAGGTGTTTCCAAATGGAAAAGCCAATATGCAGTCCTGACTCCTCGAACAAAGGCCTTTCTAACGACATGAGACTTGTATCGTTTGATCGAGAAGTTTTCGAGAAAAGACAGACAAACGCAAGCGTACTATTTATACAGATGTATATTTACTGTTGTGTCTCAAAATCGTAAGTAAGTAAAAATATAAAAGCATTTAAATGAAACATTATCTTCATTTTAATTAGCGTTTACTTTGGGTTTAACTTTCAGAAAATTTTCATCATGATTGAAATTTCTCACAAATTTATAAATATCTAAGTAGTATATTCTGCCTTATGGCAATTACTGAAACTCAAACATATCAAATTGTATCTTTATAAGATAAAAAAATCCCTAACAAAAGTATACAACGGCATCAATGATGCCATTTGTTCTCAATTTTGTTAAGATAACTAGAGGCTTAAAATAGGACACGATAACAGTATCGACTGAACGTGATCTGGTGTCCGTAAGAGAAGATTCATTAAGGTATTAAAGTAATGTTGTTGAGAAACGACACTAACTCGTTGGAATTCTTGAATACACTCATCTACAATAGATTTCCAGTTGGAATATCCATTATCAGTAAAACAGTGTAGCTCCTCTAGCGTTGATGGACTCCATTCAGTTAAAACTGACCGCCTAAGAAGCTCTTCTGAAACCTGCAAAATGGAGCAACAGAATTTAGTTACAAAAACATTCTAATACAATACTTCTAAACAAAGTCATTATACAATTCAGATTCTGTCGTTTAAATTTTAAATGGATTACTGATTATTTAAATTTGACACTCCCTTAGTTTAGTTTAAATTGTCAGCGTCATCTTTGTAAAATGTTTTTATTATGTATACATGCAGAAACAGCGAAAACACTTATATGATATATAAAATTGCAGCATTTTCATCATATATATATTCACATACTAAAGCGTATAACATGCTGTAATGTAGAATTTCCACTCCGTTGTTGTGTAAATTGGAATTCGGCACTGTCTGTCTTACAAAAAGATTAAGAATTCGAAGCCAAGTGCTCAACATCGTTGAAATATATACGACAGAGAAAGAAGATCCACGGGTCATAAAAGCAATTAATTACTCCCATAAAATGTTACTTGACAGTTTCTCGTGAACAACAATCATTCTGCTATGACCACAAGTAAATAAAATCAGTGCAGCTTATAACGTGCTAAGTAACATTAAATAAATAAAAAAAATTATAACCATTGTAAATCTGCTCGTGGTACTAAATAAATTAATTTCATTTTTTTTTCATTTTTGGCTTTCAGAGTACCTGTTATAAAAAAAAATAAGAACAATTTACAACAAATTTTATAACATTCGAATATTTATCTTTATTTATATACGATAAATAAATGAAAAGCACGAAGAACGGTCATACATCCAATAGATATATGAAACCAAGGTGATGATAAAAATAGTAGAAACAGAAAAGCGGGACACAAAACCCTACATCTGAACTATACCATTCATTGTCTCAAGTAAGTTGCGGTGGAAGAGGAAGATAAACAAGAAAAACAAACAGTAAAATTGGTTATTGAAGACAGAGATCTGGTAGTGTTGTTTAAAATGTATTTCTTAAAGTGGACATCCTAGCTTCCACTATGAGGTAAAAGCGAGATTTATTAGTACAAACAAACTCAAATAAAAATCATCCATTCATTGAAAAAGCGAAGGCTAACACATCGCTTCTCTCTTGAGAAAATAAGCTCCTGTCGTTAGTTGCTGTACAGATCCTACTTCTGTAGAGATTTTGTACACCTGTGATACACTCTCTCTTTAGGGCAGAGGACTCAAATGGAAGAATAATGTGCTATTGGTGTTTTTGCTTCATTAGAGTAGATTAACATGTTAAAATCTCAGCAGTAATTTGGAATGTTTGATAATATTGTCAATTTTCAACTAATATTGCAATAGCATTCGCTAGGTAAGTTGAATCGCAAATAAACGTAACCTACGCAAACTACGAGAAAGATCGCACTACAAAACAATACTCATGGAATGTTCCAATAGATGCCACCACCAGCAAATCCCGGAATTATAAACTTTACTGTTGATTGGGTTTGTTTGTTTGGTGTTAACCACAAATGCTGTGGGTATCGAAATCCAGTTACTAGCGTTATAAGCCTTCAGACTTAGCGCTAATCCAGGGGGGTAGCTTGATTGGAGAAAAAGGTTGTTTTACTTTACCCCGTTTGACGCTATACAGTGACGTCAATTTAAAATAATTTAGGATACGCATATTAGAGAAACAGTAAGAAAGTTGTGACTAGATAATCCAAATTATAACAAGTAATTTTTGACAGTAGCTTGAAAGACAATCATGTTTTTCGTCAATTTGTTTGACAGTTTCGAATTCCGGAAGCTGTTGGGAATAACATTATTTTTGAAAGTTACACTAAATTTATGTATATTTAGTTTGTTTTATTAATTTAATTTATATTTAAAACCAAACCTCTATAAAATAAATGTGCAACGATACCATAAGACTAAGTAATAATTTTGAGAAAACCTTGTACCGAGAAAAGATGTCTGTAGTTCATTATCATGTAAGTTAAACATTCATGTGCTGCTCGGATCTCATTCAGTTCTCGTTGGTCGGGAACCCCTACTGTTTTACTTCTTCGGGAACTAACATTTTTATTGTTAGCTGTTGTTGTAAGGTGGAATAAAGATGGCGCCAAACAAGCAGCCAAGTTGGTAGCCGTCATCTGAAAAAAATACAACTTATCAAATTCTTACCTCACAAATTTGATTTATTAGTTAAACCAATTAAATTATATATTTACCACGTACAAAAGCTACTTCCTGAGAACGAGAAAAAATGTTTTATTTTTTAAAACAATACCAGTTAGCTTCATAATGTTTTCTAAAAACAGAAAAAAAAATTATTGTAGCTTAAAATCAAATACAACGCTAATGTTCTGAAACGGCACACAAAATGGCGAAGTCCAGAGTGGGGAGCTCTTTTCAATTGTTTGTCTGTTGAATTTCGCGCAAAGCTACTGGAGAGCGTTCTGCTCTAACCGTCCCTAATTTAGAAGTGATAGACTAGAGGGAAGACAACTAGTCAACGCTACTCAAAACGCAAACTCTTGGGATATTCTAATCAGATATTGGGATTCACTTACACATTATAGGGTACTCACAGCGATGCGGTTCAAACCCGCGACCCACAGGTTACCGGTTGAACGCCCTAACAATCAGGTCATACTAGGCCCCGCCCTTTCCGAATGGAGATTTTTTTGTCGTTTGGATATGAGGAATAGAACTGATCTTATACGTTTTATATACAAAACTCACCGCACTCGTTATTACCTGATTTTCATCTGCATTTTTACAGACTTCTTGCAAGAAAGCGATTAGACTTTGAAGGACTTCTCGATTTTCATCAGGCATCAGCATTATCGCTGCATGAAGAGCATCAAGTCTGTCCATATGAGGAATATCTGCAATATAAAGCATTGACACACATAAAATTTTCATGCACTTGCCATAAATAAGGTTTAATGTATCAAATGCTGTTTCATGATTTATATCTTGATAAAATGTGTCTAAAGCCTATGGAAAAAATACTTTGAATATTTTATTCCCATCTTGGAAATTAACAGCAATTAGAAGAATTTTAAATAACGTTTAATTTTTGTTTCCATAACTTAGACTAAATACTATTTACGAAAAGGTTTCATTGAACAAGATTGCCCTGAAATTAGTAATTTCAGGAAATGTTAAGTTAATGTTATTTTTCATTGTTATTTGTTTTAGAGTAGCCACAATGGGCTATTGGCTGTGTCCACCGCAAGGAATCGAACCCGGGATTTTTAGTTGCAAGTCCGTGACTTATTACTGACCCGCCGGGGGACTTTCTTGTTCATTAGGAATTTTATCAAATTTTAATTTGATTAAACCTTAAAATTAATCACCCGAATTTCATATATTTGAACATGTTATTTTATGATATAAAAAATCTCACCACTTATGAACATAAAAATAATTATAATTTTGAAGAAAAGTTGTCCATTTACTAGTTGCATAAGATTTTTCTGACTGAAAGAAAAAGAAATAAGACGTACACTAAACGTTTCTATAGAAGCAAGAGGGTTTGTTTGTTTTTGAATTTCGCGCAAAGCTACACGAGGGCTATCTGCGCTAGCCGTCCCTAATTTAGCAGTGTAAGACTAGAGGGAGGGCACCACCCACCGCCAACTCTGGGGCTACTCTTTTACCAACGAATAGTGGGATTGACCGTCACATTATAACGCCCCCACGGCTGAAAGGGCAAGCATGTTTGGTGTGAGAGGGATTCGAACCCGCGACCCTCAGATTGCGAGTCGAGTGCCTTACCCACCTGGCCATGCCGGGCCAGAAGCAAGAGGGTAGAACGAGAGTATAATGTGTGAAACCAAACTGACCAAGTTAAAGAAGAAAATTGACTTACAAAGAAAAATACTGATAAATGTTTCCGACCATTTATTAGTGAGCAGTGCCTCAGGTAGGTCACGAAAATACTGTTTTAGCATATCAGCAACATCGTAGGCTTGTTGGTCTTCGTAGGTGTCATTATATGGATTGGACTCGTTTAAGTTTCGGAGTTTCTGGATGCGGGATCGAACTCCTGACTTACGAAAGATTCCCACTGAGTCTAAAGACGTTTTCCGTAAATAAGAAAAAGAGGCCTGAATGCAGGTTGGAAGAGCCTGTCCAGTTCGTTGTAGGTTAAGTAAGAGAGGCACTCCGAATACAGCTTTGTCTGCAAATAAAGAAATGGAAGAAAAAGTTGTGTTTATATAAGTTATTTAGTTATTCCACCAGATATCGCTGGAAACTGTAACTCAACATCTGTGTATAATCTATGCTAATCAACCTTTTTTTAATATATAGAGAACAAACAACGTTAAGCTTTTGTCAAATCCTATTTATTCTTGTTGTTGTTTTGTTTTTTACTCATTACAATCAAACTTAACGTGAAATCATAAATGGTAAACAACAATCTAACATTTTGTACAACAATTAACCCATTGACTGCAGATTCGCCGTATGGGGTACGGTCTGCCTCTGGCAGTTGAATGCGATTGTGTTGTATACAGAATACGGCTCGACAAAATTTCGCGCGCGTTTAAAACAGCCGCTTTTTTTGTTTTTGCATTTCGCGCAAAGCTACACGAGGG